CCCTGTGTCACGGAATGCCAGGAGAAAACAAGGTAAGATCCAAGTGCAATTTATTTAAAGTAACAAATGATCAAAATAGAACAAAAACGTGGCAAAATACACGGCACCTGGACTCCGTGAGCTCCCGGACTCTGGAGCGGGCTCCGTGAGCTCCCGGACTCTGGAGCGGGCTCCGTGAGCTCCCGGACTCTGGAGCGGGCTCCGTGAGCTCCCGGACTCTGGAGCGGGCTCCGTGAGCGCCCGGACTCCGTGAGCGCCCGGACTCCGTGAGCGCCCGGACTCCGTGAGCGCCCGGACTCCGTGAGCGCCCGGACTCCGTGAGCGCCCGGACTCCGTGAGCGCCCGGACTCCGTGAGCGTCCGGACTCCGTGAGCGCCCGGACTGGAGCGGGCTCTGGAGTGGGCTTTCCTGTCCTCCTTCTCACCCTCCCACTGGGGCAAAGGATTATCCAGGAGGTCATTATAATTCAGCCCCACCGCCAGCGTCCAAAAGGTCTGGGCAAAACCACCAACCTCCATTCATTGCTGCCTCCGAGCCATCAGAGTCTGGTATCGATCCATTCGCTCCTTCCCTGTGGTAGGAGGGACAATCCGAATGTCCATTTTACAAAAAAGGGAAAAAGAAAAACAAACTGCTGGATCTTGTAATGGCTGCTGTATTCTGTCACGGAATGCCAGGATAAAACAAGGTAAGATCCAAATGCAGTTTATTTAAAGTAACAAATGATCAAAGACGTTGCAAAAGGTAATCCAAAACATAGGGAACAGATAACACGATGTAAATTTAGACAACTCCGAATTCATAAGACAAATACAATACAGCAGCAACGACAGACAGAGTGAGCATGGTATATATAGATGAGATGATGAGTAATTAACTAACCGGTGATAATGATCAGAATGTTTAACAGGTGCTCATGATCAGAACAGAATAGACAGGCAAGGGACTATGGGAAATGGAGTTCAAAACATATAACATAGAAACAGGAAAGCGCCCTCAAGTGGCCAGTCCAAGGCACCACAACCAGACACTGTGACACCCTGAAGAAAAGGTTACAGACTTTGCAGCAACACTGTTGTGGGTCAGATCAGAGGCTAATGTGGTGTGACTGTCTGTATCTATCTGTCTGTTTTCATGTTATATAATATTTCAATTCAGAAAGAGGAAGAATGAGCCACAGAGTTCGTGAATGACCAGCAGACGGACACTGAGCCCATCCATATCCATCCATTTCTTTGTTTTTTAATAATCCTATAAATGTCAGGGGAGGTCTGGGGCTCTTCAGATGCCCTATTAATAATCATTAGGAGTCCAGCGCCAGCAGATGGGACCCCACTTTGGTGTGTAATGCAATGTAAATTTCCATTAAGAAGAAAGTCAATCAGATACATGCCTAAAGGTGTGACACATGACCATCAACCTACACATACTCAACAAAATTTCATTTAATCCACACTTTTAGTGTGACAATAACTATAGTATTTTGGCAGAAGCTGTAGGTACCATGCTACTGTATATATGATGGTAGCTAATATGCATGTTATATTTTATGTATGGTTGTAACTAATACGCATGTTGTATTTTTAATTTATTCATGATGGTAGCTAATATATATGTGTTTTATTTTTGTTTTATTTTATATATAATGGTAGCTAATATAAGTGTTTTATTTTTATTTTATATACAATGTTAGCTAATATGTATGATTTACTTTTATGTATCATGCTAACTATGCATGTCTTATTTTTGTTTTATTTCATCATGCTAGCTAATATGTATGTATGCCACAGAGACAATCAACATACACATACAACCAACACCGGGTGCTGCTTAGACTAGTCCTACAACTTACCTTACAAGTCATCTACCTATTTTTTTTTTCTTTAAGACTAACAAATTAATGTAGACTGGTCTAATTTGAATCCGAAATGTAAGACTGATTACTCTTTGAATAACTGCTAGTTGGTGAGAAGAGTTGTTAACACAGAGTCTTGAAATAGTAACTTTGTTTATGTAACCGGCCCCAGGAATAGAGACCTGGTTTATTAGCAAGCGAAAGATGCTCATAAAGGTGAAAAGCACAGGATGTTTCACATGGTGTTTATCTCAGGCTGTGCTGACATCACACCTGATGTCGACCTCCTTATCACGAGTCAGCACATGGACTGATTGGACTGTTGACATGGAGGCTGTCAGGCAAACAACATTCAAGGCTGACCTGCCTGCTAAACCTAAGAGCAGACCCTTATTTACTCTGAGAGACCACATGAGAAAGTTCATCTGCTATCTGCTCCATTCTGTCATGCCCTGCACTGATTACAAAAGGAGAGACGGACAGGTTTTCAGCTCAGTCTGAATCTGTGTAAAGTCTGCCACCTACTGCTTGGCATAAGAAGTGGCACAAAACAGAACGGTTTAATTTTCCCATAAATATCCAAACATGACACTCTTGTTTTATGTCCGTATGTTCCATAAAAGACTATGAGTGTGACCACCAAACAGTGAGTCTTCAGCACTTATCTGAAAGCACTGTGAGTCCACAAACCCTATTATCAAATGAAATTTGCATTTCAAGTGGGTCCTCGTTCCCTCTGGATGGCATAAAAACAAAACAGGATAAATAACATGGCCTTGTTGCAAATGAAAGTGCTAGTTAGGCAGCTATTTGTGGTAAATACACTGAAAAATTCACCATGGTGACAATTTCCACCAAAATACCAACTTAATCTAATTTAATTTAAATCATGTATTATGTTAACTAATATTTGTTTTGTTTTGTTTTATTTTATGTATTAAGGTAGATAATAAGTATGTTTTTTAGTTTTTTTATTTTAAGTATGGTAGCTAAAGCTTTATTTTTGTTGTATTTTATGTATGATTTTAGCTATTAAGTATGTTTTGTTTCATTTAATGCATGATGTTAGCTTATGTGTATGTTTACATTTTTTATTTTATGTATGACGGTAGCTTATATCTACGTTTTATTTTATTTTTGTTTCATGTATGATAGTAGCTAATAGGTATGTTTTATTTTATTTATGTTTTGCTAATGTTGTGTATTATGGTAGCTAAAATGTCTGCTTTATTTCATTTTTGTTTTATTTTATGTATTATGATAACTATTATGTCTGCTTTTTGTATGATGGTAGCTTATATACACGTTTGATTTTATTTTTGTTTGTTATGTATGATGTGAGCTTAAACAGTATGTCTGTTTTATTTTATTTCATGTATGATGGTAGCTACTATGTATGTTTTACATTTGTTTTATTTTATGCATTTGGAAATCTTAATTTACCCAAATAACATTTTCTAAAACAAATTAGCTGTGATTGTTGCTCAAGAGTCAGCTGCCACATTTAAGACTTTTAACTTTCATCGTGGCTAACAAATGTTCTGAATGTTCCTCCTACTTCCTTAAAACTGCATGTTGTTTGACCAGTTAGATGAAGTGTGAGTAACACGGTAGACAATGAGCCGGTTAATCACAAACCAGTGTGTTTTTACTTGTTGAGTGACAGTGTGACTCATGAAGGCAACCACAATGGACATCGGTCAGAGGTCCCTCTCCCTTACACTCAATTCACTTCAGTTCAGCACATCTGAAGAGACTCCGAATGAGCTCTGACTGTGTCAGTCTAGTGCTGACTATTGTGGGTAGGTGTGTGTGTGTAATGATAAAAGGTTAAAAAGGGTTGAGTCTTTCCCGCATGTCCGCATCAGCTGGTCTGAAGCTCTTCTGCCACATCAGAGCAGCATTTGACCCTGTCACTCATCAATTAACCTCACTCTGTATTTGATGTTGCCACAATGTCATATGCTTAATGCAAACAGCATGTGTGACAGAGCATATTAATTTAAAAAGGATGGATACAAATATTTATACTTCAAAAAAAGCAATGGCTTATAACAAACAGATGTTACAGCATCTCACTGTCAGGATATCAGTCTGCAATTGGAAAGTATTGTACTCAATCTGTAGCTTTTCCCTTTTGTGAAGAATATGTACATTTAATCTAATCATCACAACAATACTTGAGAAAGATATGTAATAAAATAGAATATGATATAATATAATATATGGCATTTTAAAAATACATAAACCACTTGATTTGATTCCATTTCTACCCCTTTTCTCTCCTTTTATTGTAAACTATTTCTATAATATAACAATAAAATAATCACATAACATTTTCATGGTTAACTCATTATTGTTAATTTTGTATAACAACATTGCTGTTGTTTTTTTAAACAACATTGGCTAATTAATCAGTTTTTATAATACAATATAAAACATAATATATAATATAATATAATATAACAGTTGTGTGTCCAATCAAAATCAACAATGTTTTTGGCACAAACTTATCCGTCACTTGGAAGAAATGTGCCAAATTAGACAAATACCAACAAGACATGCCCTCAACCTCGAAAAATCTGAACAAAACTACTCAAAAGAAGATACGAGCAGTTCTGGACTACATTAATACAGGTTTAGATGCAGATAAACATGGTTTGTGACGACCATACTATGTATTATTGCTTGCTGTGACCATGAAACCAGTGAAATTAAAAAATGCATTTATGAACCAAACCCTCAAACTATAAAGACAGGCCTGCTGAGTTATTCAAAAGAAGGCATCAGGATCTCAGCCTAATTAAGCCCCAAATAATTGTGTACTTCGCTACAAAGTCACTATAAAAAAGCGCATAATCAGTCATATTCTGATGTCATTTTTTTATAACTTCAGTATTTTAGCATATAGGATATAATGACACAGTCAAGTAGAGTACAGACTCTGCCAAACACATCCACCGGTTTCACAGCATCAGGCATCACTGCAAAGAAAAACCACCTGATGTGAATTTTTCAAACATTCACTCTGTCCTGAGAGAGTCGCCTTCTTCAAGGAACTGTCATCACCTTTACCACAGTGGCAATCATTCTCACACATTCAATAACTGCAATTCAAATAATATGTCACTGTAACATCTCTTACCTTACGGCTTCACTGTACAGTACGTTTCTTCGTACTGCCGTTGAGAAGTGCGGGCTACAGATCCGTGTGCGATCCTAAGAAACAATAGGATGTGTTTTTTCCTGGATTACACTTGCATCCTTTGGCGTGCTTTCCCAATGAAACACAAAGTCCACTTGGAGGAAACAGGAAGTTTTCTCGCAGGGCAGGGAAGCCCTCGGCCAATCAGCGGTTTTCAATTCTGTTAACCCGAGGAAGTCTTACTCATTCACAAAAGTTATCGAAAGCTGACCTAACTCTGAAGTCATATTTCTGATGTGGCACACAATGACAATGTCAAAACAATGTTCAAAAACCCAATATCATCCAGTTAAATGAAGCAGTTCAACTAAACGGATGCATTATGAAAGCATGGCTCTCTGGGAGTAAACACACACATACTCTCTGCAGTCCTCAAACTCACTGTCCCGTCGCACATGCTGGGTTACGAACAAGTGTCACACTGACTCATCGATCCTGCGTAGCCCTGACTCAGAATGACACACTCATAACTCCTCCAAACACAGCCGACTGATGAAAAACTACATCCACTTCTGGCACAAAGCGCTTCCTGTTTGGAATGCGAGCATCTCTGCTGCTTTTCTGCTACAAAGACTCAGCCTAAGGGTTGTATCTTGCCATCTCTCTCTCTTTCTCTCTCTCTCTCTCTCTCTCTCGATCACGACCCCCCCCTCCTGCCGCAGTCCGCCTGCAGTCCAGATCCCCCCCCCCCGCCTCCCTTATCGCTCCCTCTTTTGCTTTTTCTCTCTCTATCTGCCAGTAAATGGACCCGTTGTCTGGGCTCCTGCTCGGCGTGAAATATTAGCTCTCTCCTACAGCAGTAGCTATCTGGGCCATTAGGAGGATGAAGCAATCAGACATGAAGAACAAATTCGGTATGTGGATGAAAGACTCTGATAAAGACTCCTGATGCTGCAAATACGACTGTGTGTGTGTGTGTGTGAGAGGGCTATAAAATCAGTGGCAGAATGATAAGGCTGTAAATAATCCAGGCTTATTCTATCTGAAGTGTGGGTTTTGAGGTTAAACGCTACTGTTTGGCTTTGACATCACTTTTATGTTATAAATATTGCTATTTTGTTCACACTTTAGTTGACATTAAATACTTTTGGGAAACCGACATGCTACAGACCTCATGCAGGGTGGCGCCATATTTAATTTTTGAGGGGAATGAAAACGAGGCTGTGAGGGACAGAAGTACATGAGCTCAATGGATTGTACTGTTGTTTAACAACATGCCAGTTGTTCAGCTGATAAAACATCCTTACAAAAGACTTCTAGTAGACAAAAACTCCATAAAACATTACTGAGAGTTGTGAAGATTATGTGATATGTGTAAAATTCAATATGGCTTCTACTGAATAAAGGCCTACTCACACCAGGAATGATAACACTAGGCGCGTTTCCATTACCCTTCAAATTGCACAAATTGAAATTGCGAATTGAAAATACGCCTAATGGAAACGTGTCAATTTCGCAAAAACGCCCATATATCGCAAAAAAGTTTTTACGCTCGCAAGTACATGAGCTCAATGGATTGTACTGTTGTTTAACAACATGCCAGTTGTTCAGCTGATAAAACATCCTTACAAAAGACTTCTAGTAGACAAAAACTCCATAAAACATTACTGAGAGTTGTGAAGATTATGTGATATGTGTAAAATTCAATATGGCTTCTACTGAATAAAGGCCTACTCACACCAGGAATGATAACACTAGGCGCGTTTCCATTACCCTTCAAATTGCACAAATTGAAATTGCGAATTGAAAATACGCCTAATGGAAACGTGTCAATTTCGCAAAAACGCCCATATATCGCAAAAAAGTTTTTACGCTCGCATGAGGTGGTTTTTCAGGCAATGCGAAAAAGGAAAAATTCGCAAAAATGCAATGGAAACTTTTTTTTTTTTTTTTCCACATTTACAGGTCACATGGCGTATGTAAAAAGTCATATGATCATTCTTCAATGTACTATAACCTCCAAGAAACACTTCATACGTGGCCGCTTTCTAGTATAAGGGGCTTTCCCTACCATTAATGCTTAGACAATTTACACTGCACATGTCTGCGTTGCAGTCTGGCTCTGATACAGCCACCGAAGCTGACTGCGGCCACTCTAGTCAATGCTTGTGTTTATTCCAGCTGTGCCACGCACGTTTCTGAAGCGGCACTCTCTGTGCTTCTTCTGTAAAGATACACACATATGCCTCCTTTGAATAAATATACCCAAAATCCATTAAAATTCCACCAAAATCTGTTGCCATGACTTATCGCGAGAGGCAAAAGATTAAATTTTAGTTGCATAACATTGGTTAATGGAAACGGCGTCATTCCGCAATACATTTTTATCGACATTTATAAAATATCACCAAAGTTTTGCGCAAATCTGTAATGGAAACGCGCCTAATAACTATCAGCATCCACACCAAGGCACCATATTGCTTTGTTTATTATAAGCATGCACTGGAATTATGTGGCCGGGTACTTTAAATGCTCAAGCTATTTAAAGTGAGATGGATTCTGATTTGCTGTCTATGTTTTAAGAGTTCATCAGCTCGAAAAAAAATCATACTAAAAGTGATTCCTACGATGTCGTTAATCGTTATAGTTGTGGTGTGAACTCTGCTATTCTTTAACATTTAGAACGACTTTTAAAAACTAAATTTATTGCCTAGGGTGCGTAGCGTACAACTAACAGCCTCTTCATTTTGACATACTTAAAATATCCACTTCAATCACTGTAATTTTGCATCGGAATCAAGTAAAAAAGGTGCTAAAATAAGACCGGTCTTTTTTTAAGTGGGGAATAACAGTAATTTAGGCCTGTTTGATAGGGACTGGGTGTAAATCCCAGGCAATGCTAACTAGCTGTTAGCGACAGAGGGGATGTTTTAATGAGGACCATAGGAGGGCTTTGTAAAGACACAGCTGTTCTTGTAAATGGGCATCTTCTCCGTTTCTTTGAGATGTGCGCTGAATAGGATGCAGGAAACACTAATTAAATCAGTGGGTGATGAAGGTTTACAGAGAAATGGGCTGTCATTTCTAGCTGAGACATGGATACTTTATCAACATGCTAACTTGCAGGCTAAAAGTTTGAAAAATACATAATCACAACAATGCTTAACACTTTGGTAATTGTCCTGCTCAGATTAGAGAGTTTAGCAGAGCGCATTGTAAAACAAGAAAAAAAAGAAAGAAAAAAATGTGCTGTTGTTAAGAAAACTATTTCTACAAGATTTGCTAATTACAGGAAGGAATGGTACATCCAAAAATATTTTTTCTGCTATCAATCTCAACTGTGTTCATATACATTCATAAATGGTCCATCAACATTTTTGCACCACTTTTGATGTCAATGACGATTGCTCACTGAACCAATAATATCTGATCACATATTTTTTTGTGAATATCATAGTTTCAATTTCATTCTGTTCCTCACACAGAACTTCTGTATAGCTCACAATGGATACGGGACACTTTTATAGTATTTTGTCCATCTCAGGTTCATTGGACAAATGAAAAACATTTTTGAAAAATGATATTAAGTTGTTTCTTGCATGTTTTGCAACACGTTCAAAGTGAAACATCTAGTGAGAGACACTAAAAGTGCATTTGGTTTTGTCTAAAACAAATAAACGTGAATCTGGCAACGTTTTACGTATGTATGTATTGTGGCAGTTTGGAAATTAAATGTCTGGTGAGTGGCGCTAAAAGGTAAAGGCTCTATTGCACTTGAAAATACTGAACCCTACTCTAAACCTAAACAAATGTGTTAACAAAAGCAAATATGAGATATAAATTAATTTGCTGAAGTCTTTGAGATCTTTCATCATGACTCATTTCAAGGGATTTGTACCCAAGCAAGCACTTCACATCACAAGTGCAGTCCCAGGTGCACAACAGAGCAAGTTTACTACAACAGAAAAGCCATTCATATGGAGCTGGTTATGCGATGCAAACATCAAAGTGTATTTGTTTACAAATCATGCACTGTGATAAAAGTGTTTTGAGATCATAATACAGCGCTGGGCAAGGAACCATGTGAAAATAAGTACTTTGCAAATAATAATCTAACCCTGTAATCATAATTTGTGTGAAAAGGATTAAAAGTTGTATTTTACTGCCACTAGTGTTCATGTCAGCTGGAAACTGTAATGAATTACATTAATTGGTACATTTGTGGAGTTAAGCCAAAATGTAAGTAGGCACACTGAGCCTGCACAAAAATAACTTCTATTGCTTAACATACAGTAAGCAAGAAAAACATAGGGGTTTCAAAAAACATAAAGGTGATTAAAACATTTTAGGTGAACTATTTGTTTAAAGAAACCTCAAAACAGTCCACAAAATGCTGTGATTAACTACTCATTAAGAGTACTCGAGTATTCTAGGCAGGCATGTCATAAAAAGCATTCATTTGCAATATGGGTAGGCAACATGGGTATGGCAACATGATGCTATCTGTGGTTATGAACCATGTATAGTCTAAACAATATTGTGTTCACCTGAAAATGTATTAACAACCCCTGAAGAGGGGTTAATAATTTTAATAATTATCAGAAACAAGAAAATGGATAAAAGCACAATGGAGTGACAATTAGCCATGATTAATTTTAGATTAAAATATGTTGATGAACTCAAATATATTTAGCTGTGCACAAACACCTACAGGAAAATAATGCACAATAGTAGTTTATAGGTCTGTCAAAAAATAATTAGAATTTCGAATATTCGTCGAATTTAAAATAAAAATCCACATTCGAATTTTAGGTGTGCGTTAAGGAGGCAGCCTTATCAGCGGCGCACGAGATGCGATGACGATGTAAGTGTCGTTGCATTATAATGTTTTTGTTAGCCTATCCAGTTGAAGCCACTAGAACGCGGCACTGCTGCGTTGTTAATTACAAATATTGCGGGAAAAGAGAACATCTGTCACGAATCCTGTCCATGAACTTCCATCCACTTGCCACCAGAGGTCGCCCTCCCATTATATTGACTCTCACACCACACAGACGATTACACATCACCCTGGACTACATTTCCCATGCTCCATTGCACTAATCACAAGCTCACCTGAAACTTATCACACACAGCTGCTACCAATTACACCCACTATAAG